TATAGATTATTTTGCATTTTCTAGAGTTTTGAAGAAATGAAATAATATTGTATATATAGTATTATATTTAGCTTCTTTCACTCAGCATAATTCTTTTGAAAAATCATCCATGTTATTGTATATATTTATAGTTCATTCCTTTATGTTCCTGGGTAGTATTCCACAATTTATTCACCTATTCACTTGTTCACAGACATTCCAGTCTTTGACTATTAAATAAAGCTGTTGTGAATCTCCATATATTTAAAAAAAAAACATTAAATACATTAGAGTGAAACTCCACATCATGTACAGCTGAAAGAATGGGATCCTAATAAGACTAAGTTATACTTCATGTATGTATAATATGTCAGAATACACTCTACTGTCATGCATATCTAAAAAGATTACATAATAATGGTGAAATTTAAAAAAATTAAAAATAAACATGATGCTGAACACAGTGGCACATGACTGTAATCCCTGCAACTTCAGAGGCTGAGGCAGGAGGATTGCAGGTAAAGCACCTTGAGTTCAATCCCCATTACTAGGAAAAAAAAAACCTATAGAAGTAGGAGGTGCTGGGGCTGGGGATGTGGCTCAGTGGTAGCGCGCTCGCCTGGCATGCGTGCGGCACCACATACCAACAAAGATGTTGTGTCCGCCGAGAACTAAAAAATAAATATTAAAAATTCTCTCTCTCTCTCTAAAAAAAAAAAAATAGAAGTAGGAGGTGAGATGGCAGAAGGAAAGATGTCTCCAAATAGAACAAAAAGTAATAGATACATGATATTTGACCACATAGAGTAGGGTTTTACATTCGTGAAGGAGTTTGATGGAAAAAATATTAATGAGTACAAGAAAACCAATCAAATCAATAAAGTATGTTAGTCTGCTGTTACTGTGAAAAAATACTTAATATAAACAGAAAAGATTTATTTTGAATCACAGTTTCAGAGGATTCAGCCCATGGTCAGTTGTCCCATTACTTTTGGGCCTCTGGCTAGGCAGTAAGACATGGTGGGAAGCGTTTAGTAGAACAAGGCTGGAACAAAGCTGCTTACCTCATGGGGACCAGGAAGTGAAAAAAACCAAAGTTCCATTATTTCCTTGAAGGCCATGCCCCCCAGTGACTTAACTTCTTTCCATTAGGCCCCACCTCCTAAGGCTCCACAATAGTACCACAGGCTAGGGAACCAAGCCATCAACTTTCAACAGCTGGACCTTTGGGAAACATTCAAGATCCAAATTGTAACATAAAGCAAAATATAAAAATGAATAAAAAATAAAGGTATTGTGTCCATCTACAACTAAATTTCTTTTATAAAAGAAGGATTTGAGGTATTAGGCAAACCACCTTTTGAGTTTAAGGTTTAGAAAAAAATTCAAAAAATTCAAAAAATTGTAGCAGAAAGATTAATTTAAAATTCCTCATCTTAACTTTAAGATAAAACTTTTATTTTGAATAGCCTTTCCTTAGCTAGTGACTCTAAATGGTTCATTTAAAAGTCACTATTATTCATTATTTGTATGATTATCTGAACAACATTTTGAAGTATTTGTTTTTATTTCCATTTTGTTGTTGTTGTTGTTGTTGTTGTGTGTGTTCAAACCCAAAGGCTCCTGCATGCTGGGGGAGTGTTGTGTTCTACCACTGAGAGCTACAGCTCCAGCCCTAGTTGGAACTGTTTGATACAATGAAAAGGCAAGGTAACTGTACTGTTCATAAAAAAGGAACATAAACTACCTTATCGTAACATTGGAAAACTTTTTTTTTTTTTTAATTTTCAGTACACTATGCTACTTGAAATAGGAAAGTGCTCATTTTGAAACATTTTTTCCTTTAGTCTTGGAAGTTAATATTAGAAGTTGTTTACATAAAAGAGAAATATTTCTGGTCTTAATTTTTTATAGTCTTATATATTATTCTTTGATGCCCACTACCCCCATTTGGGAGCTTTTTTAAAAATTAACTACTTTTCTTTTTTAAACATTTTTTTTAGTTGTTGATAGGTGTTTATTTTTATTTATTTATATGTGGTGCTGAGAAACTAACCCAGTGCATTTGGGAGCTTTTTATAGCCCTAAATTCCTCAAACCTGATTTCTTTTCTTTTAGACAGGGTCTTGCTGCATTACCCAGGCTGGTCTAGAACTCCTGTGCTCAAACAATCTTCCTCTCTCAGCCTCCTGAGTGGCTGGAAGTACAGGCATGTGCCACACACCTCTGTTTGAGTCTCATTTCTATACGTTCCATTATTTCTCTCTTTAACAATCTTTCCCTACTTCCCATATGCACAGAATATTTTTGTGAAGAGTTGCTTGCTATTTTTGTAATGCAATATTTTACTAACATTATTGTTATCCCAGGAAATCTAAACTACCAACCTTGAGATATAATTTGAATTTATGAATCAGCTATGTTACCTACTAACCCTGCAATTTTGGGTTTGAGCCACCAACATATGTCTTAATTTCACTCACTGAAAAAGAAGGAAAATAGCAGCTTTCTCCACCCCTTTTCCTTAATTGCTCATGATACAGAATTAACTTGCTCCATTGAGTCTAAGACTTTTTTCACATTTTAACACTTCTGAAATCAGGATGAATTTAAAGGTTGACGGTGTAATGCAGTTCAATTGGCAGTATTTTTCTTTCTTGGTATATAAAATAGTGGTGGTAGCTTCAGTGGTATCAGATTTGATAATGCAAACCCTTTCTCATTGGGACAATAAAATTTACATTTTGTAGGGCTGAGTTTTACTGATAATTCAATGAGTTTACACAAATGTGCAGTAGTGCTACCGTCACAATCATGATAAAGAATGTTTTCATCATACCAAGAAGTTGCCAGGATCCCCTTTTCAGTTCATCTCTTTTCCCTACCCTGTGCTCTGGCAATCACTTATCTGCTATCACTATTTTTTTTTTTTTTACCTTTACTAGAAGTTCATATAAATTTATCCTTACAGCATGTACTCTCTTTGTGTCTGGATTCTTTCATATAATCATTTTGATTTGAGGGGGTAAATGGGGACTTGAACACAGGGGCACTTGATCACTGAGCTACATCCCCAACACTTTTTTGTATTTTAGAGACCCCTGAGTTGCTTAGGGCCTCACTAAATTGCTGAGGCTGGCTTTGAACTCATGATCCTCCTGCCTCAGCCTCCTGAGCTGCTGGGATTACAGGCATGGGTCACCTTCCCTGGCTATATAATAATTTTGAGATTCACTCATGTTGATGCGTATATAATTAGTTCATTTTTATTGCTGAGTGGTATTCTATGAAATGTGCCACATTTTGCATATCCATTCACCTTATGATGGGAATTTGGATTGTTTCCAGCTTTGGGTAATTTATAAATAATGTAAAATTGGCTTTTTCTTTAAAAGTGGGAAGGAGAGTGAGCCCAACTAAATCAAGTTGGGTCTTTCCCCTGCTTCCTGTGGAGCCCCAGCACCAAAAGAGAATCCTTTTACTTTAAAAACGGTGATGAAAACAAATCCTATACATTTTGGTGATACTGCTCCTTTACACCAGTATCTTGTGTGTTTGTATCTACAAATCCCAATCAATACATGGAAAAGAAACTAAAGCCTCTGAAGGTACACTTTGGATTCCATGATAGAAAACACAAAACTGGACACAGTGGTATATCTGTAATTCCAGCTACTGGTGATGAGTTTTGCTCCCTCACATGTTGAAGTATAACATTAGAGAAGCACTGCAAGTAAATAGCTGATATCCTGGTATCCCAATAAGTGAGGCCTTCCTCCTTTTTTATATGTCTTAGGCTTCCTTTTTTCTCCTGCTCTCTTCCTCTTATCTCTTTGCTTCCTGCCTAAGTGACCAGGCCCAGGAGATGCTCAGCGGGAGGGCCAAAAGGAGAGAAGCAGCCCACAACTTTATAACTCCCTGTAGGGAGGGAACTGGGGCAGGTTATCTTGATAGGGTGGAAGAAGGGCTCTGAAGGCATTTCAGTCCCACAGGGGGCAGTCTCCAACTTCCAGGACTCACTCAAATTGGCTTCCATGATCCTTGATCCGACCTGCCTCGATTTACCTACCTATACTGACTGCCTAATTCTGGCTTCACTGGAGATAGCCTGGGCAATGCAGCGAGACTCTCCTCCAACTCCATCTCACAAAACCCACAATTGTTCTAGAGTGAGGCAAAATTTGGATAATATTATTTACCCAAAGAATTATGCTAAGTACCCCCCCACACAAAACCTATATATTTTTTAAAGAAATGGGGCCTTTTTAAAAATAACTTTTAGGGGCTGGGGATGTGGCTCAAGCGGTAGCGTGCTCGCCTGGCATACGTGTGGTCTGGGTTCGATCCTCAGCACCACATACAAAGATGTTGTGTCCGCCGAAAACTAAAAAATAAATATTAAAGAAAATAAAAATAAAAAAATTTAAATTTATGACAGCAGAATGCATTAAAATTCTTACTACACATATAGAGCACAATTTTTAATATCTTTGGATGTATAAAGGCTTTTCTAATATTTATTTTTTAGTTGTAGTTGGACACTACCTTTATTTATTTATTTAGGATTGAACCCAGGGCCTCACCCGTGCTAGGCGAGTGCTCTACCGCCACAATCCCAGCCCCTATATTTCGATCTTTAAAAAAATCCCTAAATTTTCAAGGTGAAAAGATTCGATTTATTACAAATAGGAACAAGAGATATCTAAGGTTCCCATACTCCTAACCGAAAGCGGGTAACCGTTTTGTATGCCGGGATATGTAGTCCCCGAAAGAGCTGTTTCTAGTCAAGATGGCCGAGTTGCTCACGAAGCGCTAAGGGGCGGGCCTCGAGGGAATCTGGGTCGCGAGGGGATTGGGCGGCGCGGGGACTCAGCAGGCGGGAAGTAAAGACCAGGTATTAGAACCTTTCCACTGAGGGAAGCTGAGCACCCTGAAGTATCGCGAGATTTTGGGGGCCCAATGGAACACGCAGCTCCGCTTATCACTAGGGGCATTTGTTGGGGGCGGAGCTCCAACGGGAGCTACCCGCGAGTCGTAGGTGCCCAGCGTAACGGCGTTGGCTGAGCGGCCGCTCCGAGGAGCGTAACCGTGGCCATGAAGGAAGAAAAGGAGCACAGGCCTAAGGAGAAGCGAGTAACCCTGTTAACGCCCCCGGGGGCCACAGGCAGCAGCGGCGGGGCTTCGTTGGAAGGTGCCAAAGGGGACGATAAGCAGGACCGCAACAAGGAGAAGAAAGAAGCTCTAAGCAAGGTGCCCAGCGGCAGCTGGCCCGAGAGGGCGGGACGGGTCCATGGCTCTTGGAGGTTGCTGGAATGGGGTTGTTTCTTCCTCTATGGGTTCTTCTCTCTCTTCGTCTGAATGAAAATCGCTTCACTTTGTTTTGTATATTAGCCCTAAATGGGGGGCGTCCCTCCTGACCAAGCTCTGGGGTGGGGTTAGGGAAAGAGGGAATTCCCCAGACAAGGGTTTAGGTCCGAGCTTCTAGATGATAATGGGAGGGGAGAGCGGAAGTAAAGGAATGAGGAATAAAGTTTAATTGGGGATAATTATTAGTGAAGGGAACATCGGGGTGAGAGTAGTTTGCTGTAGGAATATTAATCGAGGCGAATTGGGGGAGAGGGCTAGGAGAATTAATTGTCTGGAAAGGCAGATCGAGAACATACTGTTTTGAGAGCAGTGGACGAATTTTTTGTATGCGTTATGGAGTTTTTACGTCTTTAAGCTGAATGGTCAAGGATTTTGTTTTAGGGTGTGTTAGACGTGGATGAGAGATACTACTAAATTCAAATTTCATGGCAAAAGACCAGGGATGGCATAATAATTTGCTACTTAGATCTATTGGAAATGAATAGTAGACAGTGTTTCCCAGAACTGGTAAACTGTGCGATAACAGCAGAACCGGAGGTTTTCCTTGCCCCAGGCGGTTTTCATCTCCAGGAATTTTTAAAAACCGCGTTAGTATTACGTTTGACTAATTCTGAACATTGGACTACAGAAGAATATTTTCTCTTGGGTTTTAATAAGTGATCTTATATTTTAAAGCCGATCTTCAGGGACTGTGATTCTTTCAGGTATGATAGAAAGTTGACTTGTACTAATTTTATTTTCCTTATTCATTTCCTAAGGTGGTAATTCGAAGATTACCTCCCACTTTGACCAAGGAACAGCTTCAGGAACATCTTCAACCTATGCCTGAGCATGATTATTTTGAGTTTTTTTCTAATGACACTAGGTAAAAGAAAAAAGAGGGAGGGGTAAATGAAAAAGGTTTCTTCCATTCTTTTTACCTTGTTAGTGGTTTTCATTTGATTTTTGATCCTGTCTCTTTAAATGTGTACTTGTAATTCAGCCAGACACATGCAAGTACATTTACATAATTGCTTTCTTCTCTGCAGTCTGTATCCTCATATGTATGCCAGAGCATACATCAACTTTAAAAACCAAGAGGACATTATTTTGTTCAGGGATCGCTTTGATGGTTATGTATTCCTTGACAATAAAGGTGAGTCTTTGTAACTGAACTAGAAGGGGAGTTTGTCATTTTTATGTTTAAAACAATATACACATGGCAGTGTTTTCTCCATGACTTTGTAGGTGGCTTTTCTAAAATCCTAGGTGATAAAATGTGTAACATTTAAAAAGCTTTACACATTTGATAAGCTTATTGTATTCTTATAAATTGGTAGTCCTGGGTATTTTTATTAACCTGTTATTTCTTTAATTTGATGAACTGAATGAAATTGCCACAGTTTTCTCTTTGTGAGACAGATTTTTTTTTTTTTTTTTGCCCTGGATTAGACCTTCTGTTTTGACTGTTTAGTCACAGCAGCAATTCTGGTAAATGACTCTTTAAACTTGTATGACAAGTTTTAAATATTTACTTCTCACCCTGCTTCAAGGACCATTTATTTAATTATTTAATTCATATCCTTTAAGCCAACAGTTGTATATAATTAAAACATCAAGTTTGATCCTCCTACATTATATCCAGAAGGGTCTAGTCTACAGGGAAGGCATATTTCTGCCTTAACTTGCTTTTTATTTAAAATCTGCTGCTTGCAACGTTTAGCCAGAAAATATCCAAGTTGCCATTTCTTACCTTTTGGGGGGCTTTGTAATCATAGGTAAATGGTGTGGTTTGGTTTCTTTTGTTTTCTTAGTATTACTTCAATTTGGTAAAATTTATCAGGGATTATGCCAATAAAAGCTGAAGAAGGACTGCCAACTGTGTTTGTCCAACTTTTTTTTTTTGGTGCTGGGCATCAAACTTTGGGCCTTATGCATGCTAAGCTTGTGCTCTACCCCTGAGCTACATCCCTGCCCTACTCCCACATTTATTAATTCCCTCAAACCATCTAGTTTTCCACCCTATTTTTGGAATAAAAGGTGGTTTTCCATCTTTTTATAACAATAGGTAGTAATGATTTCCTATTTACTTAGCTTGGAAATCCAAGTTGTGTTTGATTTTTACATTTCTTTTTAAAACTTACATTTAATACAAGTGATGAGTCTTGTCAGTTTAATGTTTTTATTGTCTTATTCTCCTAGACCTAATTATACTTTTATATTTTATGTCCTTATCAGCTAATGCTTAGACAACTACTGTCTGTAAATTTACAGGATTTTCTATTTATATTTAATTCAATGTATTGTCATAAAATTAATCTTTTTAAGTTAACTGTTGTGGAAAAGAATGAAAGTATGAACTCAGATTGTTAGCCAAAGCCCTCCATAGTCTGGCCTTGCTCCTGCTTTTTCAGCCTGTCTTCCACAATTTCCCTCTGCTTTAGTCTGGTTTATTTATTCCATTCCTTCTCAGATATTTATTCCATTCCTTCTCAGATATATCACAATTATTTAGCTAATCTGATTCTGCATTTGCTAGGATTTCTTTTTTAAAAAACATATTTTTAGTTGTAGTTGGACACAATACCTTTATTTTATTTATTTTTATGTGGTGCCGAGGATCGAACCCAGGGCCTCACATGTGCTAGATGAGCGCTCTACCGCTGAGCCACACTCAGCCCTCTTTTTATAAATATATTTTTTAGTTATAGATGGACCCAATACCTTTATTTTATTTATTTATTTTTATGTGGTGCTAAGGATGGAACCCAGTGCCTCACATGTGCTAGGCAAGCTCACAACCACTGAACTATAACCTCAGCTCCATTTGCTAAAACCACATTTCTTTTTTTTTTTTTTAAAGAGAGAGAAGGAGAGAGATAGAATTTTTAATATTTATTTTTATCTTTTTGGCGGACACAACATCTTTGTTGGTATGTGGTGCTGAGGATCGAACCCGGGCCGCATGCATGCCAGGCTAGCGCGCTACCGCTTGAGCCACATCCCCAGCCCTAAAACCACATTTCTAAAACCACATTTCCTCTATGACTGCTTTGTGATGCCTTTAGGTCAATTCTTATTCTCATTTATGCCAATGATCAAAGTAGTAGTTTGTACCTTGTGTGACATTGTTCTATGGCTGGAATCTGGTGAATTTTTTTCTAATAATTGTTTTGTTTTTTTCTTTTTTCAATTGAGATATAAATTCACATACCATGAAATTCTCCTACTTAAAGTATATGAGTCAGTGGTTTTTGGTATATTCACAAAGCTGTGCAACTATTTCCAGAATGTTTTCATCATTCCAGAAAGACACTTATGTCTATTAGTAGTCATCTCATATTCTCCCCTTCCCCCAGTCCCTGACAATCACTAATTTACTTTGTACCTCTATGAATTTCTTTATTCTGGACATTTCATATAAACATACATATGTGGTCTTTTATGACAGACTTCTTTAACTTAACATAATGTTTTCAAGGTTCATCCATGTTATAGCATGTATCATCACTTCATTCTTTTTTATTATTTTCTGCATTATTTAAATTGTGGCAAAATTAATATAAAATTTTCCATCTTAATCATTGTTAAGTGTACATCAGTAGTGTTAAGTATACTCATATTGTGTAACCAATCCAGAAATTTTTTATCTTGCACTAGGCACAGTAGCACACATCTGTAATCACAGCAACTTGGGAGGCTGAGGCAGGAGGATCACAAATTCAAAGCCAGTCTCAGCAACTTAATGAGACCCTATCTCAAAAATAAAAAGGACTGGGGATGTAGTTCAGTGGTAAAGTGCCTCTGGGCTCAATTCCCAGTACCAGAAATTTTTTTTTATCTTGCAAAACTGATACTTTACCTATTTAACAACTAGCCATCTGCTCCCCATACCCTTCTACTGTCTGTCTCTATGAATTTGAACTATCCTAGATACCTCAAATAATTGGAATCATACAGTACCTTTTTGTGACTGGCTTCACTTAGCATAACATTCTCAAGGTTCATCCATGTTGTATTATGTATCAGAATTTCATTTTTAATGTGAATGTTCTATAGTACATATACACAATATTTTGTTTATCCATTTATCTATCAAGGGACACTTGGGTTGCTTCTACTCTTGGCTACTAGGAATGATACTGCTATGAACATGGGTGTGCAAATGTGGAATTTCTGGGTCATATGGTAATTGATTTCTTTTTTCTTTTTTTTCCTTGGAATTGAACCCAGGGCTTCAAACATGCTAAGCAGGCATTCTAGCACTGAGTTATATCCCTAGCCTCTGTCTTTGAGGAATAAAAAATAGTGTTTTTCCTAACAGATACACCATTTTACATTCCCACAAATAAAATAACAAATGTTCCAATTTTTCCACATCCTTATCAGCACATGTTCTTTTTCTTTCTTTTCCTTTTTTCTTTTTCTTTTTTACCAGGGATTGAACCAGGGGCATTCAACCACTAAGCCACACCCCCAGCCCAATTTTTATTTTGAGACGCGGTCTAGCTAAGTTGCTTAGGGCCTAAATTGCTGAGGCTGGTTTCAAACTTGTGTCTCAGCCTCCTGAGCCACTGTGCCCAGCATTTTTGGTTTTTGATAGTTGCCATCTTAACAGGTAATAGCTTGTTGTGGTTATGATTTGCATTTCCTTACTTATTAGTGATGTTGAGCATCTTTCCATAAGTTTGTTGGGCATTTGCATACCATCATTGGAGATACTTCTTTTTTGTTTTTGTTTTTTGCATTATTGGGGATTGAACACAGGGCCTTGTGTATGCTAGGCAAGCATCCTACCAATGAGCATATCCTCAGCCCTGAGAAATTTCTATTCAAGTACTTTTACCATTTTTTAATTTTGTTGTTGTTGTTGTTGAGTTGTAGGAATTCTTTATATATTCTGGATATTACACTTTGTCAGATAATATGATGTGGAACTATTTTCTTTCAGTTATCTTTTCACTTTGTTGAATGTGTCCTTTGGTGCAGTTTTAAATTTTTTTTAATTTATTTTTTAGTTATAGGTGGATACAATATCTTTGTTTTATTTTTTATGTGGTGCTGAGAATCGAACCCAGTACCTCACGCATTGTAGGCAAGTGCTGTACCTCTGAGCCACAATCCAGCCCTTAAATTATTTTTTAATACCTTTATTTCATTTAGTAATTTTTACATGGTGCTGAAGATTGAACCCAGGACCTCACATATGCTAGGCAAGTGTTCTACCACTGAGCTACAACCCCAGCCCTATTGCACAGTTTTTAATTTTGATAAAGCCCAATTAATTTTTTTAAATATTTATTTTTTAGTTCTAGTTGGACAACATACTTTTATTTTATTTATTTTTTTATATGGTGCTGAGGATCGAACCCAGGGCCTTGCATGTGCTAGGTGAGCACTCTACTGTTGAGCCACAATCCCAGCCCCCAGTTAATTTTTTAATAAGAGTTTTTTTTTAAGAAATATTTTTAGAGAGAGAGAGAGAATTTTTTTAATATTTATTTTTTAGTTTTCAGCGGACACAACATCTTTGTTTGTATGTGGTGCTGAGGATCGAACCCGGGCCGCACGCATGCCAGGCGAGCGCGCTACTGCTTGAGCCACATCCCCAGCCCATAATAAGAGTTTTATTGTAGTGAGAATACTTCACATGAGATCCGCCCCTCTTTACATTTATTACTTATGCTTTTCGTGTCTTGGGGTTTTTGTTTGTTTTTTGCCATTAACAGGTTTTTCTTTCAGCTTTATTGAGGTATAGTTGACAAACTTATGTGTGTTTAAATTGTACAATATGATAATTTAATATACATATGTATTGTGAAATTATCACAATGAATTTAGTTAACACACCTATCTCCTCAGGTAGTTACCTTTTTAAAAGTAATAGCTTTATTGAGATATAATTCATATGTCATAAAATTTACCCTTTTAAAGTATATACTTCAGTGGCTTTTCATATATTTACAAAGTTGTGCAACCATCACCACCATCTAATTTTAGAACATGTTCCTACCCCAGAGAGAAACCCCATACCCATTAGTTGTTAACTCCTATTCTCGCCACCACCATCCTCTGGTCAACCATTAATCTAGCTCTACCTCTCTTTAAATTTGTCTGTTCTAGAGATTTCTAATTTTTTTTTTTTTTTTTTTTTTAGTACTGGGGTTTGAACTCAGGAGCACTTGACTACTGAGCCACATCCTCAGCCCTATTTTGTATTTTATTTAGAGAGAGGGTCTCACTAAGTTCCTCAGTGCCTTGCTTTTACTGAGGCTGGCTTTGAACTCGTGATCATCCTGCCTCAGCCTCCCAACCTGCTGGGATTATAGGCATACGCCACCATGCCTGTCAAGATTTCTAATTTTTTTTTTTTTAAACTCCAAGGGAGATGATTGACCCTTTTATTTTTATTTTTTTTTTTTAGAGAGAGTGAGAGAGGAGAGAGAGAGAATCTTTAATATTTATTTTTTAGTTCTCGGCGGACACAACATCTTTGTTGGTATGTGGTGCTGAGGATTGAACCCAGGCTGCACACATGCCAGGCGAGCGCACTACCGCTTGAGCCACATCCCCAGCCCCAAGATTTCTAATTTTTTAAAATATTTTTTTAGTTGTAATTGGGCACAATACCTTTATTTATTTATTTATTTCCTTACTTGCTTGCTTGCTTGCTTATTTACTGTGGTGCTGAGGATCAAACCCAACTCCTTGCACGTGCTAGGCGAGCGCTGTACTGCTAAGCCCCAGCCCCAAGATTTCTAATTTTTAAAACATTTTTTTAGATGTTGATGGACCTTTATTTTATTCATTTGTTTATATTCGGTGCTGAGAATTGAACCCAGTGCCTCATACATGCTAGGCAAGAACTCTACCACTGAGCCACAACCCTAGCCCAAGATTTCTAATTTTTTTAAACAAAAATGTACAGGGTTTGTTTTTACATATCAAAGTGCCACATTTTACAAGTTGAATTTAAATGAATATTTTACTTACCTGCCATATCTTCATTAATGTACTTGAGACAGGATTTTGCTGTGTTGCCCAGGCTGATCTCAAACTTCTGAGCTCAAGCCATACTCCCAAGGTATTGGTACTACAGGTGTGTGCCACACACTCAGCTTGCTGCCATTGTCACTAATTATGTTTTTAGTGTGAATTTTGGGCTCCATTGGTAGCCTGTTGATTACAATTGCGCCAGTGTGATTTATGCAATTTGAGAGACTGTCTTCAAATGACTGCCATCTGAGAAGACCTAGAAAATGGTGGATAGATCTCTTGTATCCACTTTTTACATTTTCTTTGTTATAGAAAGTATATATATATATTTTTCTCTAAACAGGTCAGGAATATCCTGCTATAGTAGAATTTGCACCTTTTCAAAAAGCTGCAAAAAAGAAGACTAAGAAAAGAGATACCAAAGTTGGGACTATTGATGATGGTACAGTATAGCTTTAGTTACATAATGCTATTGCCATAGACTTTTTAAAAATTAAGTCAATTTTAAGAATTCATTAGACCCCAGTATTTTAAATTAGAAAACACAGAATAAAGTTAATGAGAAATGTTATTTCAGTGAAAGCTTTGCTTAATTCTTAGAATGTAGATGGGTTTCTTGCAGAGTTTCTGCTTTCTGGCTAGTGGCATTTCATTCTTCTACCACTGAGCAATATGATATTGACTACTGAGTTGTAAATCATCATGGGTTTATTAAGTAGAAGACAATGGGGGAAAATCAGATGTTTCCAAGTACAGCTGTTCCTTGAGGTGCCTTATCATTGTTATAATTATTTGATTTTTAGTTTCCATCATCTTTATAAAGAAGAAGGTTTGAACCATGATGGAAAAATTTCCATACCCAAGTAACTTCATATAAAGTTGTTGAAGTAGTCAGTACTATTTTCTAGGCTTTGAATATGTAGTTAACCGCACATGTAGTAATTAGGTTGAATAAAAAATACAGGAAGTAAAAAACTACAATAAGTTCTATGTTAGGTAGACCAGCTCCAGATTTTAAGATCTCTGTATTGTTATGCTGGACAAGTATTGTGTAATAACTCTTTGTTATTTTGGGTAAGGGTTTTTTACTGCAAATACTTTGTATGAGAGATTGATATTTTAGGATCATCTGGTTGAATTTCTATCATTTGTTAACATAAAAGATATGTTATTAAATACTAAAGACTCAATAACATAGCTGCTTATTGACGATAACACAGATTTAGATACAGAAGACAGATCAAGTGACATACTCAGCAATGTGTAGAAATGAGCCAGATGTATATCTCTTTCTGAGAGGTTTCTAGGAAAGAACTACAGGAATTATTGTTGCCTCCTGTACCACATCTAGGACTTTCCCTCCATCTCACCAGTTTATCTTTTTGGAACACCTGATTTTCTATGTTGAATTTACTTAAAGTGAGGTGTATTCATGTAGGAATTGCTTATATATTATACCTAATATTCTCTGAAGGTTCCACATATATAACTTTTATTTAGTTCTCCCACAAGTGTGACTCGGATTAGTAGGAATGTTGATTTTTAACAGCAAACTATAACACCCCTGGTGAGTCTGTTTAAATGTGTGGTGTCTCATTTTTCTTGACCCAGATTCCCTTAGTAGGTATTAGTAAAGGGAGTTCTAAGAGTAAGGGACCAGTTAAGCCCCAAATAGTCTTATCTTCTGTATTTTTCAGTCTTTTGTGAAGTAGAAACTTATCTTCTTTGTTAAATAAATAAGTATCTTAGATAGTATTTCCTTTTTTGTTTAAAGTCTCAGTTTTCTGGTTTCTTAAATGATCATTTAGATCCAGAATATAGAAAATTTTTGGAGACTTATGCCACAGATAATGAGAAAATGACATCTACTCCAGAGACACTGCTAGAGGAAATAGAAGCCAAAAACAGAGAATTAATAGGTAAGTGGACAAAGGAATTGGGGCAACAGCTTTTTCATCAGATACCCAAGTCTATCTCCCACTTCCCTCACTTGCTCTGTGTAACCTTGGGGAAGTCACTCCCTTCTCTGAGTTTATTTCTTCTATTGGAAAATGCAGATGATAATACCTGTCTCACAGAATTATGAGAATACATTGATAAGATGGGACAAATTCTTGGTTACCTGCATAATGTCATGTTAAAAAAAGTTTAAAGACTGATAAGGCATGTTTAGACAGTGGTATGTCTTTGAAGATTAACTGGTATTCTTAAAATCTTTTTGACCTGAAAAAATGAAATTAGTTACTGCAAAATTGAAAAACTCTTGGAGAAATTGTAGCTTGAATGTTGGTTCTAAGTAAGGTTGATATTACAGTAGCAGTTCTAAACAGGAGCATAGTCTTTGACTATGATTTCTACTCCTAAGAATTTGTTTTTAGGAAGTAATGTGTTCCAAAAGTTAATTGCAGGAGGGCATGGTGGCACATGCCTGTAATCCTAGCAGTTCAGGAAGCTGAGGCAGGAGAATTGCAAATTCAAAGCTAGCCTCAGCAATGTAGCAAAGCCCTAAGCAACTTAGTGACACCCTGTCTCTAAATAAAAAGTGAAAAGGGCTGGGGATGTGGCTCAGTGATTGAGCACCCCTGGGTTCAATTTCAATCCCCAGTACCAAAAAAAAAAAAAAAAAAAAGAGAGAGAGAGAGATGACTATTAAGGCTCATAGAATTTTTCAGAATGTTAAAAAATTGACTTATTTTTCGTCTAAAACTTGTTTTTTATTAATGGCTGCATAAGCTAAGTCCATTTTGGGTAACATCCTTACAATAAATTCCCTTAGTGGAAATACGGGGTCAAAAGGATTGGATATTTTTAGTCTCTTCAATTTGTTTCCACTCGAACAAATTTGTACTCCTATCAGTAAAACAAGAGAATGACCTTTGTACATAATTCTCACTAACTGCAAATTTACTCTTAAAAGATTGATTTATTATTTTAATGGGAGTTTCTTCAGTTTTTAAAAAAGTATTTTAAACCTGTATTGTTGAAATCAAATACTATTAAACTTCTTTTTGATAATACAATTGTGAACTTTCTGTCTAAGGGGTATAGTTTTCCCATCTTGGGTGGGTGGCATGAAATGTCAGAAAGTGGAATCCTTCTAAGGGTTGACAAGTATTATTAACAATCTGTTTATATTTATGTAGCTAAAAAGACAACCCCACTTTTGAGCTTCCTGAAAAACAAGCAGGTAAATCTTTTGTTTTTATAGTTTTCTCTTTAAATTCGTTAGTTCATATTCTATAAACATTTTAAGAGCATTGGGCTCATATAGGAGAAATAGCCACTTTTTCCACAACTATTCTTTAAAGAATTGGTTCCTTGGTCTCACTTTGGCCTTCTCCTTCACTCTGGTTGTGGGACCAGGGGTTCACTCTGCAAATCTGCAGAGCCCTTAGCTTATCCCAGAGACATTCTTGACACATACTGAAAGATTCTGAAAATATAGCAAGGCAGCAGTGGGATTTTAGCAGGTCCTCTACTTTCTCTCTCATTTTCTGAGTAGGGTGGGGGTTTGAGTAGGTGGTAGAAAGGAAGACGGAAAGATGATTCAGTTTAGTGAGTGCCTACCATGCCTTTGGGATTGATTAGGTTTTAGGTGATGTTTTGTTTGAAGACTTGTTTCAATGTCTCTTTCTAGAGAATGAGAGAAGAAAAGAGGGAAGAAAGAAGAAGGCGAGAAATAGAAAGAAAAAGACAACGAGAAGAGGAGAGAAGGAAATGGAAAGAGGAGGAGAAAAGAAAAAGGAAAGATATAGAAAAGCTAAAGAAGATAGATAGAGTTCCAGAAAGAGACAAATTAAAGGATGAACCAAAGATTAAGGTATGAAAATAATTGAAACCAACTACATGTTGCTGCTTAAAATTGCATGGTTTTTTGTTTTTTTTTTTTTGCATGCATCTTGTGTTTGTGTAAATGAGTTTTTTTGGTGGTTGTTGTTTTTGGGGGGGTTGTCCTTTTTTGCAGGGGGTGGTGGTACACAAGTAAAAATTTTTCCTATTAAAATTATTTTTTAAATTATGATAATTTATAAGGATTAAGTATTGTATATGATATTATTTAATGAATATCTTTTTTAAAAATCATTGAAAATGTTTGATATTTGGACTATTAGTCTCAGTTCACAATAAATGAGGGCTCAGGGCTGGCTGGCATGAATTTTGGGTTTTATTCAGCTTTTCCTTCATAATTGATACATGAAGTTGCCTCATCTGTTTGTTTTCCACTGTCTTCAGGTACACAGGTTTCTGTTACAAGCTGTGAATCAGAAAAATGTAAGGACCAATTACATGATACAGAGCACCTAGTATCATGTCACACACACAGGTCTTAGCTCCTCAGTCCTTTTGGTGGTGGTGGTGGTAGTGTTACCTATTAAACCCCTTCAGACTGATGTGGGTCTTTTTAAAAGCTGAGCTATTTAAATTCCTACCCTAAAATGAAGCTGAGGTGATTTCCTAATGTTCTGCTTCAATGACATACAGCCAGAGGACAACCAGGCCTATATACCTCTTTCTCATCATCTTATATGCCTCTTATAACTGGCTGCCTTGTGGGAGGACTAGGGCTAAATATCCTGCATTAAGTATTTTTCCCCTCTCACATGACTCCCATGTTATCTTCTTGCATCTGAGAATCTGTGAGTAGCAGATTCTGATCAGTGCATTGCATGTAGGAAGGAGAAACCCTGTAGAAAGATCCCAACCTTGCTGCTTTTCTTCTGAAGGCATGGCTTGGGCAGTTCTTACTTCTTGGGGAAGTACTAGTACCTAGTACTTCAAAAAGTCAGAGAACATCTCATAGAGATGGCAGCAGGGTCTCCTTTTACCTCCTGAAAACTCAGAAGTTTATGTGGCTAGGGTTCCCTGAGTCTGCACAGGACTCATTATTGGTAATAGGTGCTTAGGGGAAGGGGGAGTTTCCCATTTTAATTCTTTCCAGCAATCTCTTTGTCTGCCGTGCCACAAGTGATTTGACTTGCTATTCCTGATGATCAGCAAGGCAGAAGGTAGAGCCAGCCATGCTAGAGACATTCATTATGTTCTTATTAGAATAATGAACATCTTGGCTTCAAATACAGATGTTCATTAAAGAAATAAGAACACTTCCAATGAAACCTGCACATGGTATCCTCACTTTACACTGGTGCTTTCTTCTTGTCCAATTTGGACTCCTATTTGCAGTGGCTGTCTGTGTGCTGGAATGCTCCATGCTTAAGTCTTCTGATGCTTTGCCTTTTGCTTGGTGACTAGTATGATGATGCCTTTACCCTGAGATGAACCTTGTATGAAGCCCTCACTTTGAGACTTAAAATACTTCTATTTTGCCTAAGAATCTCTCTGACTACACTTAAGTGTGGGTATTCTAGAGAGATTTATAGCAGTGATGTGAGAAAGAATAGCATTTTTGAACATATATATATGTGTGTATATGTATATATATATATTTTATATATATTTATATATGTGTGTGTGTATATGTATGTATATATATATATGTGTGTGTGTATATATATATATATATATATATATATATATATATGCCATTGAATGGAGTTCCTATTCAGTAGAGATGGAACTTCCCCATCTATAATATAAGGCATTTGGATTTTTAAATCAAATACCAGGTAATTCTTGCTATTTATCTCTAATGATAATTTTACCATCATAAATATGTTATTCTCAGGCTCAAGGCAGAATTATTCCTGCAATGGATCTCTCCTTTGGTGACCAAGATATTTGTCATTCCAAATTCATACCCATAGATAGTTCTATAGTAATGATCTACATAGCATTTTGAGTTTGTGAAATATTTTCCCATCAAATTATATTGATAGACACGCTGGTGTGCTACAAAGCATACTTGGAGGTGTGCATTGGTTCACTTACAGGTTGACCCATTCAAAGCCAAAGGAGTCTTGATCCCATTGCCACAAAGTGATTAAACCACTTAATTTGGGTGGATAACACTTTCACATTAATAGCATTACTATTCTCATGCACTAATTGTTCACCTGAAAGATTAAGAGAACCTGCAGAAATATGGGGGCCTTCTACAGTCTAAACTTTAAATATTTAGTAAATTGTTTTAATTGAATCCAAAGACAGTGCCCCACTCTCAAAATAAAACAACGTGTTTTCTTTAAAGTTGCTCAAGAAACCAGAAAAAGGAGATGAAAAAGAGTTGGACAAAAGAGAAAAAGCCAAGAAACTGGACAAAGAGAATCTGAATGATGAAAGACCCAGTGGGCAAAGTTGTATACTGTCCAAGCATTCTGAAGGCGAATTTAAAGATGAAAAGCCAAAGAGGTCAGTCAGTCAAGGGCTCTTGGCTATATTTGATTGCTAGATGCTAATTCCATTGCTATAACCTGGAATTGTATTTGGATTAAGATAAAACTGTTTAATATAGGATAAGGAGACAAGGAGGAAGGTCAAATATTCTGGTAACTTAATCTGGATCAATGATTTTGGGGTCTTGTTGTTTTCTAAAACACTAGTATTTTTTACCTTGCTGTAAAAGTGCAACCTCACTGCAGTGGCCAAATCAGAATTAGTGTTCCTGCATTTGTGGTTATGTTTGAGGGTTCAGTCTCTGTTTTCATGCAGATCTGAAGATGAGAGTTGCAGAGACTATAGGGAGAGGGAACGAGATTATGAACGAGATCAGGAGCGCATTTTCCGTGAGAGAGAGAGACTAAAGCGGCAAGAAGAAGAGCGCCGAAGGCAGAAAGAGCGCTATGAGAAAGAGAAAGCTTTTAAAAGAAAAGAAGAAGAGATTAAAAAAGAGAAAGAAGCACTTCGTGATAAAGGAAAGAAGAATGAAAGTACAGAATCAATAGGCAGCTCAGAAAAATCTGAAAAGAAAGAGGAAGTGGTTAAGAGAGACCGCATAAGAAACAAGGTACTGCTTTTTGTTAAATTTATTTCACAAGGATTTGTTTTCCTCTTATGGCAAATGTAAAGGGGACAGCTTATAGTTTATTGTAGATACTTTTTATCTGGTGCTAGGGATCCAATCCAGGGCCTTAAAAGCACTTTGCCACTAAGCTACATCACCCAGCCCCTACTGTAGAATTTTTTTTGAGAAAAGACAATTAGGAAATAACTCTATTAAATTCAACATTTCACATCAGAGCATATATCCTATGCATATCATTGTTTCCCTATTTTGGACACTAACTACAATCTCCTTTATATTTTTTTTGAATTTTTAAATTCTTTTTAGTTATACATGACAGTAGAATGTATTTTGACATAGCATACATACATGAAGTATAACTTCCGGGGCTGGGGATGTGGCTCAAGCGGTAGCGCGCTCGCCTGGCATGCGTGTGGCCCGGGTTCGATCCTCAGCACCACATACCAACAAAGATGTTG